CTGTGTGTGTGTTTGCTTAGGTATGAGTGTGTGTGTGTGTGTGTGTGTGTGTGCGTGTGTGTGCGCGTGTTAGGCATACTGTTCAGACAGCATCTTGTTGTTTAACCGGCCATGCATGTTTTTGGAATATGGAAAGAACGCCTACACAGGCTGTCTTTTGATATTACTATTTATTTAAAGCAAGTTGCAAATTTATATTACGTGAAAAATCGTAAAGTCAAAAAGGTTGTCTTAATTGTATTTTTAAGAAAAACAAACACCCTTCTTAACTGTTAATGTTAAAAATGCAAATAAGTAACTAAGTTGTTTTTTAAGAGCATGTAGATTAACTAAGTCACTTTGTCAAGGTAACTGTAATAACACTGCCAATGAAAGTGTATCATCAGGAGGACGAAACAAGTGGTGGTTCTTTGATTGATAACATTGTTACATCCTTGGCGAATTGCGAGTCACATACGTTCACTTAGAGCGGGGGTCGGCAACACGTGGCTCCAGAGCCGCATGCGGCTCTTTAGCGACATCTAGTGGCTCCCTGGAGCTTTATAAAAAATGTTTGAAAATGGAAAAAGATTTTGATAGTAGGCTAATATGGCTCATATAGATGTAGATACATGTTACAGCTCCGAAAAAGGAGAGCTGTGGTGTTGGTTTTTTAAAACATACACTTTATTTATGCTTTTAACACTCTCGACAAACACAGACACGTCTGCGTCCGACTCCGTGCCTACTCTCTTCTCGTTTGACTCGAGAGGCGTTCAAAGACAGCCTCCGAAAAACGGAAATTAATAATCACTTCACTGACACTAAGAAAACAGCGAAAATAATGCACCAAAACAAAAAAATCAAGTGAGGAAATCACAAAATAAATTCATTGGGGGCGTTTGTGAACACAAAACAAAGGAATGGATAACATAAACAATTCTGAGACAGTCCAGTCTCCTACATACATACAGCATGTGTTTCCTTCATTGTAAGTTTTATAGAAGGCTTTTATTTTTTTGCGGCTCCAGACATATTTGTTTTTTGTGTTTTTTTTTGTCCTATATGGCTCTTTCAACATTTTGGGTTGCCGACCCCTGACTTAGAGAGTCGGTAATGCCCGAACGAGAACGAGAATGTCAGTAGCTTCACTAACTTGTTCATGAGTTGTATGGGAGTACGTTCACTGAAGTACCTCCCCCGCCTCCGCTGGCTTCTGATGGGTCTTTGGAAGATTCACGCGTGAGTGACAGACTCTGCATCTCAGCTCTGAGCTGGACTGAAATGAACTGAGATAAGAATGAATCGCTTCAGGAAGTGATCCGTTCAGTCATGTTCACTCAAAAGATTTGTTCTTTTGAACGAGAGTTTCGCAACCAACACAACACTTTTGTGACGGTTCAAACCAAATAATTGGTTACCCGACTCAGAGAAAAAAATTGCTCAGAAAAAAAACGTTTTTTTTTTTTTTTTAAATCGAGGTACCCGAAAGATTCGAGGACCCATTTCAACTCTATGCACATGTCATGATATTAACAGCTTTGAGTCTTCAAATATAAATAAAATATTGGTAGTTTTATGTACTAAAAATGTTTACCTGCTTTGTCATGCACCAGAGGCTTGGCGGTAACCAGACCAATGTTGGTGTATATTAAGTGTCTCTTGTTATGGGTCCAGTTTAATTGATATCCGGCCAATGAATTTCTTCACAACATCTCTCTGACAGTTATCCGTCCGATAGTTATTGTGCATCCCTCCGTTAAACTGCTCGGTAGTCAATCACAGTGGAAATTATGACATTAATAAAAAATTATGACAAAAAAATTAAACCTGACTATTTCTTTGTGATGTAATGAACAACTTGTAGCGCAACGAATTTAGTGATGCTCGGGTGATATGGTTGCTTAATGTTCCCGGAAAGAGAAAAGCGGAACTTGGAAATGTAGTTCCCGCGGTACAGTCAATGTGGCTCTGCAGTGTGAATAAGGAATACATCTTAATTGTCATAAAATACCATCTGCAATGACCTTTTTTTTTTTTTTTTGCGTCATTCAAAATACAGTGCATATGGACGTGTTCTCTCCAACATGCACAACAAACAGTCAAGCTACCAAGTGTCTGAGTGAAGAGCTCCAGGATATTAGATTTTTTTTTTTTTTTGTCATTCACACTGAAAATGAGAGCAACTGTAATAAATAATGATTTGCAATGCGTTAATAAAGGTGCATGTTATTACAAAAAAAAAAGTACATAACTATTTATGGTAAGCACTGCAACAACATAACAGGCTAACTTTGTCATCTCAGGTGTCTAATTTCTCATTTACAGTACATTAACCCGGTCCAGTAAAAACGGATATGATTAGTATGAGGAATGGGTCCTTACTCTCTTTCCATTTCATTTTTTTTCCTTTTCTAAAATTAAAGATAACGCACATTGCACATAATGCCTCGGTCGATATGACTTTGACAACTGCTTGTCCCGTCTCCCCGACGGACCTGCACCGATGGACTGAATCTTGACGGAAGCACGCAACACTTGTGCAGGATTTGGTTGGTGATGGGCATGTTGTGTGATGTTTTACCCCGGTCCAAGACACAGAATGATATTTATCTGGTAATCCAACGGCGCGACCATCATGAACAACAAAGTCATGTAGCTTGAGAAGACTATCAAACAAACCCTAAGCGTGCTCCGTCTTTGTGTTTGATTCTAATTCATACACCTCTTCCTTTTTGTTTTAATAATTCTCAACTGAAGTATTAGTGGTTATTTTTAAGAGCCCTCTGAATCATAATGGAATTGTAGCTTCAGTACTGAGAGGTTCTGACCTCTACACATAAAGTATTTTGTGCTCGGCCCGACTGGATTTTATACCACAACTTGGTATAATGCCTGGAAATGTTCAGAAAACCTCTTCCAAATAGCCACTTGCCGGTGTCAGAGAACTATTGTTGTATGTCACCTCATTCATGGTGGAATCGAAGTTGCTTACTGGATATTGTGATAGATGGGTCGACAAAAGACAAGTGACAGTGGGTCCTTGTGTATACAGGCCATCAGCAGACAAATGATGGATGGAGGGATGAAGAGGATGGCTGGATGCATGGATGGATGGATGGTTAGAAAGATAGAGGGGATAACACAAAGGGATGTGGAGTGGAATTGTGATGCATGAGAAAGGAGAATGTTGTGGTTAGGTGCATCTGCAGCTAAATAGTGATGCATTGTGCCTACACAAAATCTAACAGACAGTAAAGTCTCCTGGTTTATCTTTAATCAGCTATCTGAGCAAGCAGCCTTGTGTTCCGCACCTCACTTTATAATTTTTTTTTTTCTGGTTCTGTCCCCTTATTGTTGGCATTCTTTCCCTTTTCTCTTCCTTTTTTTAAATTGTATTTATTTATTTATTTATTTATTTATTTATTTTACAAGGACTTTGGCCTCTCTCTCCCCTTTCTCCGCCTCACATTGTCTTTTGTGTTAACAGCCTTCCATTTCCATGCAGTCGCTGAGCCACCGGCCTGCATCTACAATCTTGCCTTTCATTTCATGCTTCTGGAAATGGATGTTTTACTGCCTTCATTAAAGCGTGCAGAAGTCAGCGCCGTGTTTTCCCTCTGAAGTTTAGCTCCATGAACCTCGCCATTAGAGGACATTATGGCCCCAGATTTCAGGACACAGAGGAACACTGTATAATTTGATTAGTGTTATTAATCAAATGGAATTCCGCTTAGCATCTCCCTGCCGTCTCGGGTCCTCACCCCCTCCTTTCATTTTCCAATTGCTCCTTTCCCTTCCCTCTTTCTCCTGCATGCAAGCACCTCTCTGTCATTCATGATACAAACCACACAGATTGAAAGTGATGAATACGTTGGCCCGTCCCTTTTAAAAACAATGATTTACCACTCGTTTTTGCCTTCCTCTTTTCGAGCCCCACATGTCTCGAAGCCATGCACCTCCCTCTACTAGCTGGGGACATAAATCAATTGAGATGAAAGTTCCATAATTGTGCTTGCTGGGAGGGATTTGAGCACAATTGCGCTATGAATTTTTTAAAGAGTTTTTTTTTTTACTAGCTTCCCAATGGGACTTGGGCGGCGAAGGAAGGTGAGGCCACAAGGATTTATGGGCCAAGATTCTTCATTACTGAAGTAATTTTCCTGCAAATGATTGTGTGTGGGACCGATGCTCCATTTGAGCCCATCTAATCCTTAGCTCTGTCTGTGATTCCTAGTAATTGATTGTTCACATTATATTCAAGGGTCAGTACACACTTCGATTTCATTACAATGGCTAGTTTTATTGGGGCTGTTTTGACAGTACACCATTTTTGGTGAAGAATGTAATGTACGTTTCACCAGCAAATATTTGTTTCTATTGTTTAATTCGAAACTATTTTACCTTCAATTCTTAGGCTAGAATTTGGAACCAAATGACCATGGGAGTTTTCATTTAAGAATGGATCTAATATGAAACCACAATTCTATTGACTTTTCTTGTTGTACTCGGTGCTGTATGTGCACAACTGCACATGTGCTAATTTAGATGGGCTTGGTCAAGCTGTCGTTTTCTTTTATCAGCAAAGATTTCCATTTGTATTTTCCATTTCTTTTGATAATAATAATAATAATAATACATTTTATTTGGAAGCGCCTTTCACAGCACTCAAGGACGCTTTACAACCAAGAGCAAACAATAAAACCACCGATAAAATTATAAATAAAAGAAGAGATAGATTTAAGTTGAATACGCAAGTAATTTCTTCAACGCTGGCATTCCCATCGTCCTCATATTTACCTTTCGTTCAACCCAAAATGGCTGATATTTTGTTTCCATCTCTTTAGGTGACGCCAGCAGCAGTGACCCTCCTCAAGGTTAGTGCGTCCACAGTGCCAAGTTTCATTTTGAATCTTGCCTTGCCTCCACTCAATTTTACAGCTCAGTAGTTTGAGAAGCAGCGTGGGTAAATCTGCTGCAAGAAGGAGAAAGATAGTGAGCCAGGAGGTGAGTGGGAGAAGAAAAAAAAAATCTGTGGGCCCTTTCACCAGTTAAAGTGGGTCTCATTCCTGGCATACAAACAACTCAGGACAATTAGTCACTTTGCACCATCTCAAACTTGGGACTCACTTAAAGGCAAGGAAAATATAGTGGACCCACAGGCTTTGCTAAGTGCTGCAGTTATAGGACATTAGGGGGTGGAGAATGATGCTCAGCTCAAATGGAATATTTCCATGATGACTTTGGAGGAAGTCAGCGACACAAAGAGAATATTTTGAAGAAAAACTACATCGAGAGCGGGGAGGAAATTTCATATGGGGGAAATAGTGAACATTGTTGGCCAAAATTTAGCAAGCATCACGTACCGCGTCGTGTACATGAAATGTTGAATTCGATCCCAATTCTTCTCATTCACGTCCTCTTCCAACTGTCATTGTTTTGTTCTATTTCAGCCCAATATGGGTTCAAACTCATGGCACGGTATGCGACGGCCTTTGAGTTCTTGAAAATCAACTGCACAAGGAACGGAGATAATACTAATAATTTATCTTTGTTCCTTGTATTACTGTTTAACTTTGTTCCTTGATGCCTTGTGGTATTTATAGCAAATAACTTTGCTTCACACTTTGTATTTTGGAATATTAATGTATTGTTTATACTTCATTCATTGTAAAATGTTATTCCTTTATTTTTACGCCATTCTCTCTGGCCCATTTGTCAAATTTTATACATAGAAAAATTATTGTTCAATTGAATTTTTTTTTTTTTTTGAGGGTGGGATTAACATTTATCACCACAAAAAAACAAAAAAGCAAAAAAGAATTGGTACTGTTGAGTGTTGAGAGAATCGAAACAGAATTGGTACGAGTGTGAATGCCACCCATCCTTAACCATAATGAAAAATCCTAACTATTCTAACCGAGTATGGAGGCACCTATCCATAATGCTGAAACGTGGTCCCAACAATATCAGGCGAATGAGAAACTCCATCAGTGACCCCGAGAAACCTTTATTAATAATAATGTTGGACCCGTACCAGTAATATCTCAATAACTTCATTTGTACAATACATTTCAAGAAAGAAATGAACATGTTTGATGGAGGACTTCTATCCCGCTTTATCATTTTGATGTTTCAATGCAAGATCCTTCATGTCATCCTGCATGTATTGCTCAAATACAGCTGAACATCCAGATGTGGGTTCTCAGTGCCCCCCACCCCCAAACAGAATATTTGTTGCTGTCAAATTCCCTACAGCAAACTGTAATTTGAGTCCTGAAGCATTGCAAGTTTGCTACCCACGGCTCTTCAGGAATGTGTTTGATGTATAGAACAAATTTATCTGTAGATTATACGTAGAAATTGAAGTACCTTCCTCTCCATCCAAAAGGTGGTTGATGGGGTCGAGGTCAGGGCATGCAAGTAAGTTTTTTTCTCAACCAACTTTCACCAAAATGTTCCCATAAAGTTGGAAGCTTTTGATTTTTTTACAGTGTTTTCCAAAGATGAAAATTTATTAATTAACTAAGAACGTTTTCCAAGAAATGAATCCGTCTATTGCTGCCAAACCCACTGAAGAGCAAATGTTTCATCTCCAAAACAAAACATTTCCAGTTTTCTTCCCTGTAAAATTGTGTTATATATTAATCCATTTAGAACAGTTTGCTGCCAAAAGTCTATGGCAAAATTTTCAAGCACCACATGCTCGAGAACTAAAATTAAGCATGACTAAGGTGGGTGGTGCGTAGAAGATCAGGAGGTAGAATGAGAGAAAAGTTTGTCCCGGGCCCTCTAAAGAGACTCAGTGTGACCAATCGAGGTGAAGTGGATGAATGAGGCCATTCACCGGGCATAATGAAAGAGCGCCTGCTGGGCTTTAAATGAGGGTGGACCCATCTGCACCACATAGGCGTGCACAAACCAGTGACCTTGAAAATTACCCAGGAAGCACTTCGGGATAGTCACCCCAGCAACAGGCTCGGGTTTGCATGGTAACCAGGGTCTTCAATCAGCGCCTGGCACTTTCTTTAACAGGGTACAGCTTTTAGTGCATTGAAAGAATTCAATGTGAATTCCAGCTCGAAAGACACCCCATGTTGTTTTTTTCATGTTGGGTGGGGGGGGGGAGGTAGGGGTGACCAGTTATCCCATGCAAATGTTTTTTTTTTCCTCGTGAGTTTTCTGAAGGCATGGCTGAGTAAGCTGTGTGAAGATTTGTTCACAGAGATGACTCAGGTCGCTGTTTTAATAAAGTATGACATCCATCCATCCATCCATCCATCCATCCATTTTCCGATTCGCTTTACCCTCACAAGGGTCGCGGGGGGTGCTGGAGCGTATCCCAGCCGTCTTCAGGCAGTAGGCGGGGGACACCCTGAACCGGTTGCCAGCCAATCAGAGGGCACACAGAGAAGAACAACCATCCACGCTCACACTCACACCTAGGGACAATTTAGAGTGTTCAATCAGCCTGCCATGTATGTTTTTGGAATATGAGAGGAAACCGGAGTGCCCGGAGAAAAGCCACACAGGCATGGGGAGAACATGCAAACTCAACACAGGAAGGCCGGAGCTGGAATCGAACCCTGCACTGTGAGGTCGGCGCGCTAACCACTGGACCACTGGGCCGCCCACTTGTGATTTAACAAAAACTAAAACATTTGAGAGTTGACTTTGACCTTGGGAGTTAAAGACTGGAGGTTTGACTTGAGACATGAGGAATTGTAGACTTGATTGTCGTTGATTTTATGTTTAGGTCCAAGGTAATATATCAGATCTGCTTTGTCGTGTCGGCCTGAGCAAGAGGATTGCAAACTTTTTGGGGGAGAAAAACCACGAGTAAAACGGACAGCCATATGACAACATGGAACTTTTTGTGACATTTATGACTCTTTATGCCAGGTAAATTCCTTTGGCTGTTCTTTAACTCAGTCAGAAGTTTACTAAAGTTAGATTCATATGATCCAAAGTTTGTCATTGGCTGCCGCCCATGTACTCTGCCTCTTGCCCAAAAATCAGCTTGGATAAGTTACAACACACTCACGACCCCATTCGGGATAGGTGTAGGAAATGGATGGATGGATGAATGATCCAAAATTTGCTAATCGAAATACATTAAGCTTGAAATGGTAAGTTAACAAGTGAGTGGACGAACTGGTAATGCTTTTAAAACGGCATATATTTTCAGTTAAAAAGGCAAGTTTATTTGTAGAGCACAATGCAATACAGCTACCTAAAAATTACAAGAAGGCAAATAAAAGAAAAATTCCGAAATAATGATTAAGTGATCTAATTCAAAGCAAAGAGGGCAGATAAACTAGTATGTTATCAGATGTATAGAATGATTTTTCAGCCTGAATTTGAACAATCTCCGAGTTCGGGTCCATCTCACATCATATGGAAGAATGTTCCAGATTTTTGTGATATAAAAGTGCTTCACCATGTTTGGCCCTGACTCTGGGCACCAGCAGGAGGCCACTGTCCGAGGTTCTCAGAACCCCAGGAGGTTCATATGGCTCGAGGATGTCAGAGATGTACTTTGGGATGAGAAGCTTGTTCACAAGCCGACCTGTTTTGAAGTGTATGCTTGATGTACTGCAGCTTCCTTGTAGCTCTTTTAAAAAGCCCAGCGAGCAGGCTGATAAGAGTGGTCTAACATGCTGGATTAGTCTTGTTAATTCAGGTTTCGACACTATTCCTTTGATCGGGATTGTATTTTTAGATGGTAAAAATCTGCTGATGTTATTGATGTTATGTGGCTGTTAAAATTCAGGTTTGTGTCCAATATTACCCATATGTTTTGAACTGTATTAAAAAGTTTTGTGCTTAGACACATCACGGAATTTTAGCTGACCGAACTGAAGCATGTAGAGATTAAACACAAGGGGTCCCAAGTTTCATCCTTGGACAACCCCACATCATAACCATTTTTTCTGAGAAAGTGACCGATTTCCACAAAGTACTTCCTGTCCTCAAGATGAGGCTTGAACCAGTTTAGATTAGTACCAAAAATTTCCACCCAGTGTTCAAAAGCCTTTATAATGAGATCACATGATCGACTGTGCCAAAGGCAGCACTCAGGTCAGAAGTAAGACTGTGGCTTTGCCTTTATCTGTGTTTAGATGGATATCATTTGTCACGTGGATCAGAACTGTTTCAGTGCTGTGGCGAAACCCAAAGCCTGATTAGACCGGAGAAAGTCAGGAAGATGTTGCTGAACAACTTTTCTTGGACCTTGCGTAAGAATGGCACGCTTGATGTGGGCCGGTAGTTGTTCAGTACTGTGGCTTCTGCTTTCAAAGATGGTCATTGAGAGCAACTTTTAAGACCTTTGGAAATGTTTCAGACATATTGATTAGATTGGTCATTTGTGGTAGTAAACTGGTCAGCATGGACTGTAGAAACTTAGTGGGTAACTCATCAAGGCAGCAGATTGATGGACTCAGACTGCAGATGATCAATTTTTATTTATTTATTTGTTTGTTTATTTATTGCCAGTGACAGGTGTGAAATGTGGCAGCTCAATAAGTCTCGCTGGCTACAGAGTAGTTTTTTTTGTCTTACAGAAATTATTGCATTTCGATTGCCTGACACTTTGTCTTTAAAAAAATATTGCAAACTCATTGCACATAGATGTCAAATTTAGTTCTAAGGACAGTAAAAATGGAGGTCTTATTCTTTTTACTGTGGCAAACAAGACACGAGAGTTGTTACTGCAGTTTGTGATGACTTCAGATAAATAATTGTTGGCAGAGTCTACTTTTGCACAGCGTTTAACATGACAACACACGTCTCTGCTCTTTGTGAGAACACCCGCGTCAACGGGTACAGCATATTTATTTTTGCACGTATGAGTCATTCATTCATTAGGTTACGT